AGAACAAATATGTTTCCTGTTTAAATCAAGATATCACAGTAGACCTAATTCTTGGGCTCTGAGAAGTTAGGCAGGTGGCTCAACCGCAAAGGGGAAGAGCCAGACTCGAAGCCAGGCAGTGAGAGCCAGAGCTCTCTCCCGCCAGCCTGCCCAGGGCACATCCCCAACCTCCTAGACATAGCCCTCAAGTCACGTTCTGTAATCACTGCCTCACTGGGCTATCTTCCCCAGTAGAAAGAAAGTAACCTGAAGGGTAGAAACACTCCTGAAATACTTGAGAAGGCCCCGTGTCCAGCTCAGAACCTGACACCAGCTAAGCATTCAGCAACTAACTGCTGAACAAATGAGTGATCCAATAAATATTTACTGAGCACTTACTATGTGCCAGGCACTGTGGACACAGTGTGCGCAAAATAGGTTTATTTCCAGCTTGTCATGCAGTTGAACAGATAAACGTAATCAATCCATCGTACCAACGCGTAATGTGAAACAGAGATTTCTAGACTCTGACAGTATTAAGCAGGGGTCACAAAGGACAACCCCTCGCAGAAAGTGTGCAGATCCATGGTACAGAGCAAGGAAAATAGCTCCAGATAATTGGGACTTCGGGGTCTGGTGGGGCAGGGGAAGAACTGCAGTCAGGGGACCTGAAGACTTCCCCGACAATTATTCAAAGACTTTGAAAACAAACAAAACAAAACAAAACAAAACCAGAAAAGGCCAGGCCAGAGTAGCTGGAGCAAAGAGCCAGACTGTATCAGGGATGCGAGTCTTTTTCCAAAGAGCGAAGGTTCTCTATGGCAGAGTGAAGGGACGGCAACTGCATTCTTCGTAAGTCTCTCTGTGCAGAGGAAGCAGGACAAAAAGGAAGGGAGTCAGTCGATGGCAGCCATCCTATGGGGGGTGTGGTGACCGGGACAGGGTGATAGCGGGGAGCTGGAAAGCAGTGAATACATGTGAGGTGACCTCTGGTGCTGGGCCATTTGTCAGGGGTGAAGAAGAAAGGGGACTCATCTATCTTTCCAGACCCCACAACAAAATGTTCTTAACTGCAAGGTTAAACTTTGTCACAATATAAGGACAATGATGTGGCCTTTCCTGTATGAAGGTGGTGCCACCTCTACCCAAACATATTGCAAAGATAAGACCAAGACTCTGAGTCTTGGGGGAAAAACAATTTTTTTAATGTTTATTGTTGAGAGACAGGCCGTGAGCAGCAAAGGGGCAGAGAAAGAGGGAGACACAGAATCCAAAGCAGGCTCCAGGCTCCAAGCTGTCAACACAGAGCCCGACGTGGGGCTAGAACTCACGAACTGTGAAATCATGACCTGAGCCACAGTCGGATGCTTAACCAACCGAGCCACTCAGGCGCCCCAAAACAATTTTTTTTATATATATATGAAATTTATTGTCAAATTGGTTTCCATACAACACCCAGTGCTCATCCCAAAAGGTGCTCCTCCTCAATACCCATCACCCACCCTCCCCTCGCCTCTCCCCCCCACTCTTATCAACCCTCAGTTTGTTCTCAGTTTAAGAGTCTCTGTTTTTACTCCCACTTAACCTTTTTTTTTTTTTTCTTCCTCTATGGGTTCCTGTTGTTTCTCAGACCACATAAGAGTGAAACCATATGGTATCTGTCTTTATCTGTATGGTTGGGATTAATTTAGCATCACACTCCAGTTCCATCCACACGTTGCCAAAAGGTTATATTTCATTTTTTTTCTCATTGCCAATGAAAGTGTCCATTGGTATAAACCGCACTTTATCCATTCATCAGTTGATTCATTTAGGTTTTCCATAATTTGCTGGCTGTTGAGAGGCCATAAACACATTGGGGTACAAGTGCCCCTATGCATCAGTACTTGCATCCCTTTGATACCTTAGCAGTAAAGCATAAGGTCATAGGTAGCTCCATTTTTAATTTTTCGAGGAACCTCCACACTGCTTTCCAGAGCTGTTGCAACGCAACACCACTCACCACAAAAAAAGAGGTGTCTCCGCTTCTCCACATCCCCCAGCATCTATTCTCCAAACAATTTTTTTTAAACACAGCTCAAATACAATCACTAATTATAGCCTTCAACATGGGAAGAATAGACTTGGAGCCCAAGAAATCAGGGGGTCCCACTTTCAACTCTAACTTTCAGATGTTCAACCTTGGCTGCATTACCTACTGACTGAGTCTGTTTTTTCGTCCATGGGAGAAGGAATACCACACTCCAGACACTGTAGGAGACTAAGTTGCCAACATGCACAAGTATATGGGCCAGAGACGGAGAAGTAGTAACTATCAAGTACCCTGGATGGCAGTTGGAGCTAAGACCTGACTCTTGATTCAGCTCAGGTCACCATCTCACAGTTTGTGAGTTCAAGCCTCCCATCGCTCTGTGTTGATTGGGTGGAGCCCGCTGATCTGGTCTTACTTCTCTTCATTATGTGTGTGCATGGTAATAACGGCACGGTCAGCCTTCACCAACAATACAGGCAACTATTATTATTAAGAGAAGCAGCATCCCTCCTTTAGCCATAAACCACAGCTCCCCATTGAGTTGAATTAAACATCCTACCGTGCAGTGGTGTATTTAACTCTATGAAATGTATTTTAATCTAATTAAACTTTAGGAGTATATTCTATTATATAAGAACACATTCATTTAACATTTAGAGATGGATTGTCTCTCTCAAGAAAAGAACAGGATAATTACGAAAATAAAAAAGTGATGGAGAAGTCCTGAGCACACACACCCTCACCCATCCACACACATGCATGCACACGCACTCACACACATATGTGCAGCTGGTCTAGGATGGGGTGGAGAATTCACCACACGAATGAGCCTCCCAGATGATTCTGATGCAGGTGGACCTTGTGTCCTCAAATCAGGACCCCCGTGCTGACCAAGGCCAGGCCCCATAGTAGAGCCTCAAGAACAACTGTAAAATGCAAATCATAAAAAAAAAAAAAAGAATTATTCTATATTTACACTTATTAAAACTGTATGATACGGGGTGGAAGGACAGACAAAAAGATCAATGAAACAGAAACAGACACTGACAAGTAAGTAAATAAAAATCTCAGTAAGGATACAGCTTTTATACTCTTAAGGATAAAGCTTTTGCTCTGGCACTTTCCATGGCTATTTTATCTTCCAGCAAACACCTACAGATTTACGTCCGTTTTACTTACTGCTTATGAGTACTCCGCTGGGAAGGAGAGAGGTCAGGACCCAGGGCCTGCCTGCTGTCTCCATGTTCACAGTCAAGGCACAAAAGCATTCATAAACCAGTTATTACAATGCAACATGGCAAGTTCTGTAATAATAATAATTTCATCTACTGAAACAAAAGAGAACTGAAACAATAAATCAGTCTAATGATCTGATGCCACAACCACATACTAAGAACCAAATGTGCGACAGGCACAAAATGTCTGTGCAAAAGAAGAGAGATACACACTAGAGGAGTCGCCCCTCGGCCCTCAAAGCTCACAAGCCTCGTGGTGCCACAGATTAAACAGCTGACTACGATACGATGCCGTGCACGCGCTCACCCAGTCGCTCACCCTGACGGGTCTTTCCTAAGCACCTTCTACACGCTTCCAGGCACCAGACTTACATCAGTGATCAAGACAGCAAACATCCCTGTCTGCACAAAGCTGACATGACAACACCCAGAGACAGAAACCAACAAAATAAACAAGCCTAACATACAGGCTGTCAGCTGGTGGTAAGTGCCAGGGAGAAAAACCAGGTGAAGGAGAGACAGGATACGGGAGGGATACAGTGTTAAATCTGCACCAGTTTCAAATAGTCCCTGCAGCTCTATGACAATGTGGCGCTATGCGCTTTGCTCCGGCTGGTACAGTGTGTCACAGACATGGGTCTGAAAGGACAGACCAGGAACGGGCTCTGCTGGGCGGGCTGGGGTGAGTGGGCCGGGCCACGGCCAGTCTCCGGAATGACATGAGCACTGAGCAAGCGAGTTCCCTCATTTCCCTTCCTTTGCGGGGAATGTTCCTCCCGCCACCATGAATCACTGAATGACTTCACAAAGCAAATGCCTGTGTGTCTCTTACCTTTGCCAAAACATTCCCATCTCCTCCCAGGCAATGTGAGAAGCTTACACGATTATGTCAGTCCTTCCCAGGTCAGGAAAGTCAATGCCAATTTTGGGGCTTCTTTTTTATATACACATAAAGGAAACAAGCAATCACAGTATAAAATATGAAGACCAACAGAAAGTATAAAGATCCCCAATATTCTTAGACCCAGGATTACCTGTGTTCACATTCTGGTATGTTCTTCGCCAGAGTGGTGGTTTAACATAGCTAGCATCACTCTGCATCGACATAACTTTATATCCTGGTCTTTTTGTTTTAACTACATAAAATGTAAATTACTACATGTGCATTTCTCTGCTTCAAGTCAACGCTGTGTGGACGTCAATTTCATGGCTATGTGACATTCTGTTCTACTGATGCTCTGCTTAGATTTCTGACTTGCCATCATTATCAATTACCCTGAAGATAACCTTATGCAGAAAGGTATTTCAAACAATTCCCTCAGAACGGACTACCAGGGGCGCCTGGGTGGCGCAGTCGGTTAAGCGTCCGACTTCAGCCAGGTCACGATCTCGCGGTCCGTGAGTTCGAGCCCAGCGTCGGGCTCTGGGCTGATGGCTCAGAGCCTGGAGCCTGCTTCCGATTCTGTGTCTCCCTCTCTCTCTGCCCCTTCCCCGTTCATGCTCTGTCTCTCTCTGTCCCAAAAATAAATAAACGTTGAAAAAAAATTAAAAAAAAAAAAAAAAAAAGAACGGACTACCAGAAGTAGTACAGGAAGCCGCGAATACGCGACACGAGCCGTCACTGCGTAGGTGGTCCACAGCTTACCCAAGCTGAATCACCGCACCTCTCGGCTGCAGAGACAACACAGAAGCGACTCAGCCCTGGCCGCCTTTTTGGTCTTGACAGTAGATGGTTTTAGAAGCGACACGTTTACCTGCTGTCGGAATCCGAGGCGATCTCCTTTCTCCCTCCAAAGCGGATCTGGCACTGCACGGAAACAGAAGCCGCTGAGATTAGCGGCTGGGATGGGACACTCGAACGTCACTAACAGCCCACACAGGTCTTCGGGGTCATGGGACACACAGGGCCAGAAACTCCAGGTACCGAGTCGGGGTGTCCCCTTGTCCCAGGTGTCAAGCCGAGACGTGAGGCAGCCTTCCAGCCGCCACCTACTGAAGCCTTTATCTCCCACTTGCACAGAAGGAAGGCGTGTGGGAAAACAGTGCTAAGAGGAAAACTGAAGTACACAGCCTTGTGCAGATTTTCTAGGAAGCTTCTGTATGTCAGCAGCTGACTGTCTGAACACAGAGCTCCCCACGGGCGACAATTAATACTTACACAAATCTGTGGTGATGGGTGCCTTTGGAAAGGGCCCCAGAGTTGTTATGACTGGCTAGAAAATTATGGCAGCATGATTCAAGCCTCAAACATGTCATCTGGTTGTGCCGAATGACAATTCACCCAGGGTGGATACAGATGAAAGCAAACCATTCTTTCTTTTCTAATTGTGGTAAAATATAGATAACGTAAAATTCACCATCTTAACCATTTTTAGTTACACTATTCAATTCACAATATCGCCCAGCCATCAGCCACTCTCTCCCCTGTGGGGAACAGGCTCGCAAGATTCCGGAACTTATTCATCCAAAGAATGAATGCATTAATGAATTTAAATGATGTATTTGTCAAAACACGTGGGACCGCATACTTAAAATTAGTGTATTTTATTGCATGCCTCAATTATATGTCAGTAAGACTGATTTTTAAAAACCATATGTACACTTTCACCCACTAAAATATTTAACAACAATAATAATAACAGCAGCTCTGGGCATCAGCTCCAATTTATTTCTGTTCAACGGCTACACTTAAGGTGGTGCCAGGGGCGCCTGGGTGAATCAGTCGGCTGAGCGCTGAACGCTTGATTTCGGCTCAGGTCATGATCTCCAGGTCCGTGAGTTCAAGCCCTGCATTGGGCTCTGCACTGACAGGGCAAAGTCTGCTTGGGATTCTTTCTCCCCCTCTCTCTTCCCCTCTGCACCCTCCCCTCAAAATAAATACACTTAAATATATAGATATTTAAATATACGAATTAAAGATACTTAAATATACGAACTGCCTCAGAGGCTGGTGGGAAGGATTCAACGGGCAGCGCTTAGCAGGGGGCCTGGCACGTGACGAGCGTGCACTAAATGATGCACGTGTGACTCACGCAGGCCAGGCCGGCACGCTGATGCCAGCCTAAGCCAAAGCTTGCTTCCAGGCCCGACCAAAAGCCAGACGCCAAAAGCGGCACCGAGGAGAGCCCTCCGGGAGGGCCCTCCGGACCCTGGGCGAGGCTTCCTCCCTCCTGTCTGCCCTGCTCTTGTGCCCAGGAGGGGCTAACTCCAACCACGACCTCAGCTCCTGGAAGCGTTGCCATCAAACTGCCTGGAGGGAGACTTCGAAACCAACACCAACGCTCCTCCCACGGGGACGTCACGAAGGACGGGGGCCTCCAAAGGTATCAGAAAGGACGCGGGCGCCCCTCCCTCGCTGTTTCGGACTGCCTCACCTGCCCTATCGTTTCCTGGGGAACACCGCCAGCCTCACTGCTCCCAGAAAGTGGGAATAAGTCCGCGCACGTGGAAGGGCAGAGATGACCCCATGTGAATTGCCTGGCACCGTTACTCGACCTCAGAGGCAAATGCGAGCTTCCCTCTTACCTGTTTCACTGCATCCAGGAGTCGCTCCAGCAGAAACTGTCTTTTCAAGTCATTGTTCTGTGATCCTAAAATGCAACAAGGCGTCATTAGTTCTGTTGCACGTAAGCCTTTTATCGAGACTTTCTGCCACATGGTGTAGGGCTGTCCCCACCTAGCATCAGCCGCCTCTGCGAGGAGAACAACAAGACCAGGTACCAATAATCTACATCATTACAATGGAGTCTGGCCATCTGCCTGTTAGGCATCACAGGAAAGCAGCTAAACTAGTATTCCCCGAAGTTGAAGAACATGTCCAGCATAGTCTAACCCAGGGTTACCCCACCTTGGCGCTTTTAACATTTGGGCCGGATCATTCTCTGTGGTGGGGCTGCCCTGTGAACGGCAGGGTGTTTAGGAGCATCCCCGGCCTCTACCCACCAGATACCGAGTGCACACACATACACACACCCTGGCTGTGGCAACAAAAATGTCTCCGTATGTTACCAAATGTCCTCCGGGGGACAAACTGCCCCCCCAGGTGAGAACCCACAGTGTAACTATAACCGAGGTTCCCTAGTATGGCAGGCACTGCCCACTGGCTGACCTCACTCTCTCCAGCATCCTTTCCCCAGGCCACCTCCTGCGGTACAAGCTGCAAAACCAAATTACTCCTTTTCTCAGCCTCTTTTGGAAGGCTGGCCTTAGAGAGCAGAGGGCCCTGGGCATTGGGGAAACCACGCCTTCCTGATCAAAGAACAGATGGTAATCGCTTCATTCCTCCTTCCATCCTTCACGCCTTCATCATAAACACCCTGGGGAGAGCCAGAGCATCACCGGGCAGCCATGAAGCAACAAGCTTGGAAGGAAGGTTAAGGGAATCACAGAGACTCCAGCCCTGATGCCATTTCACTGCTGAACCAATACCAGAAATCTCCCACCTCTCACACAGCAAACAACCCTGTTTGCTCAAACCGCTGTATGCCGGGCCGTTACTTGCGGCCAAAAGCATTCCTAACCAATGCACGTAGCGTGTGCTCAACTTCCATTTATGAGGGTCAAAGGCAGGCACACTTTAAAGCACCAAGCAGAACCCTGTCAGAGCTACATCTGCGGTCCCTTGCGAGGCCCAGGGACCCCAATCAACAGAGACACGGCTACGTACTGTGACGCACCAAACACAGAACACAGTCATTCCAAACGAGACTCAAATTCAGAGGTACAAGAGCAGACGCCCCACGCCATAAGCCTGGAAGTGCCACCAAGCTGCTTCTCTCTTGGGCAACTAAACACGGGCTTCACCAGGGAGTACCAGCTGGGCATCACCCCACAGACAGTCAGCGACTCATCCAAATCATGCCAGGGCCACTGGGCTGACCACCACTGTGACCGCGTGTGGAGCACTTCCTGCGTGCCAGCCACTACACTCAGTGCTCGGCATGATCACACCCTGTAATTTCCACAACCACCCTGCAACCAAGGGATTGGGACCCCCCCCCCCCCGGCACCACACCGCAGACGGGGAAGGTGAAGCTCAGGGAGAACAGCATTGTGGGCGATGCACTCAGTATTAATCTAACTTCTACCGTGTGCCAGGCAGTGTCCCAAGTGCTGTGGACACAGGAGTTAAGTGGTAGACAAGAGCCATCTTCTCATGGAGCAAAACTTGTATTAGGGAAGAAACCCAGAGCACCTAAGTAAACCTACAATGGGAGGACGTGAGAGAGTCATAGTCGGAGGAAAAGCAGATGGGGTGATGAGACAGGGAGGAAGCAAGAGGCCCCGGCGGCCAGGGTGACGGTGGAAGGCCTCTCCACCCAGCCGACAGGTGAGCTGAGCCCTGTACGGGGACCAGGAACAAGCCTGGAGAGCTACGGCAGCCCAGCATTCCAGGCAGAGCAGGCAGCCAGGGTAGATGCCAGAGGCAGGAACAAGCTTGGTTTCTAGTCTTCCAGGATCAGAAGGAAATCAGCTGTGACTTGAGCAAAAAGCCAAAAGGAGGAAGTAAAGAGGAGACAGCAGGCAGGAGCCGGTTACAAAGGGCCTCTCGGACCAAAATCACAGGCTTGGGGTAGGTTTTGTTCTCATCTGAATACCACTTGGTGGAACTGTGATCCTCAGTCAAGACCATGCCCCTCCAGAGTCTATGTCCAGGCCACCACACAAGGCTGCTGCCTCACTCCAGACCCAGAGATGAAGCCAGTCACGGACACACGGTGATACAACTGACTTCCCGAACTGTGCCACTGTTATTTTTTCTGGAGGGCTCTGAGAAAGGATGGCCTCCATGTCATTCCCACCTCACAAGGCCATGATGAAGCATCATTCAGGACGCCTGAAGATGCCACCTGCCCAAGACCCCCCAAACAGCTCTCTTGATACCTGTGTCTGTCAACAAATCCTACTCTTTGTTTAACATGTTTGGCTCCCGCGCTTCTCTGTCTAACGCCAGGACGGACAAGTCGGGCTCTCCTTCTTCCTTCTTCCAAGTACTGCATCCAACAACGCTACCTGGCCTTGGGCACTGCCAGCCGGAAACTCGACAAGGCTTTCCACCCCGAAATGCCCTTGCCATTTTCTTTTATCACAAAAGTAATTTATGTGATAGAATTAGCATATGACCCATCTATTCCACCTCTGGGTCGACACCCAAAAGAATTGAAAGCAGGGTCTCGAAGAGATACTTGTACACCCATGTTCACAGCAGCATCACTCACAGTGGCTGAAATGTGAAACAGCCCAAGTGTCGATCGACAGATAAAGGGATAAGCGAAATGTGGCCTATCTACACAATGCATTATTATTCGGCTGCAAAAAGGAAGGAAATTCTGCAATCTGCTAGATGGATGAACCTCGGGGACATTATGCTAAGTCCCCAAAAAGATAAATACTGCAGGGTGCCTGGGTGGCTCCGTCGGTTGAGCGTCCAAATTCAGCTCAGGTCATGATCCCGCAGTTCATGGGTTGCAGCCCCGCATCAGGCTCTGTGCTGGCAGCTCAGACCCAGGAGCCTGCCTCGGGTTCTGTGTCTCCCTCTCTCTGCCCCTCCCCCACTCATGCATGCGCACGTGCTCACGCTCTTTCAAAAATCAATATTAAAAAGGGGCACCTAAGTGGCTCAGTCGGGTAAGTGTCCAACTTCGGCTCAGGTCATGATCTCGCGGTCCGTGACTTCAAGCCCCGCATCGGGCTCTGTGCTGACAGCTCAGATTCTGTGTCAGATTCTGTTTCAGATTCTGTGTCTCCCTCTCTCTCTGACCCTCCCCCACTCATGCTCTGTCTCTCTGTGTCTCAAAAATAAATAAACGTGAAAAAAAAATTTTTTTGAAAAAAGTGGTTACAATGGTGAATTTTGTTATGTGTATTTTACCACAGTAAAAAACAAATCAGGAGAAAAAAATGTGCCAAGAAAATAAAAATCTCCATCATCATGCTACTGGTCATTTTTAGCACAGTGATTCTCAAGTTTTTGGATTCACACAAATCTCCTGGGGTCTTGTTCAAAGGCAGGTTCTGATTCGGCAGTTCTGGGTGGGGCCTGGAATCTGGTATTTCTCACGAGCTCCCGGTGATGCTGAGGCCGCTGGTTCCTGACCCACACCTGAACAGCAAGGACGTCACAGCCTATGCTTCCTGACAGGCATGATGATCCCATATCTCTTCTACAGTGTCTTGAGCCACTGCTTTTCCTAGATGAGATGTCAGCAGCCTCCTCTGCCCTACCTTGCAAAGCCTCTCTTTGTGGTGCGAAAAAAGGTCTGTTCACTGCGGAGGACCGATCTGAGGTTGTGCGGGCCTCAGCCCTCCATTCACCCTTCCTGGCTGTAATCCCTCTGCGGGTAAGAAGTGCACTTGTGTGACACCATCCTGACCTCAGAAGAGGCACCCGTGGCCATCCTGGCCCTAACTGCGGACTCAGAGAAAGGAGTGTCGTAGGGCAAAGGGAGCCCAGGCGGCCTTGGGGGCATGCAGCCACTGCAGGGGGTGCCCGGGAGGCCACGGCCCTGAGGAGCAGTGGAAGGAGCACCAGTGGAAAGTCACAAGGCATCATGAGTTATCTCCATAGGAGTGCTTGCTGGCCATGTGACAGGGACACTCACTTCCCTTCTCTGGGCACTGGTTTCTGCATGAGATCATGTTCTCCTAGCTCTGCAGTCTGGAACACGGGGCCCTGGTGGAGACAAGGCAGGCAGAAGAATATATGCCACCAGGGTCCTTCCTGCCTTCTTCTGGTGAAGAAGGGCGGCGGGGGGTGCCATTAAGGGATGGACATTTAACCCTTGACACAGATAAAGTGGCTCCCTTCACCGGAGCCCTGAGGCTCAGTGGGGAGCACCCAAGGCTGGTCTCATGGGAAGTACTCAAGGAGAGATTCGGTTTCAAGTCCACTAGCTCCTGGCTCGGCCGTCTGCTGAATCTTGCTGGCTTCCAAGCCTTGTAACAAACCTGCAGTCACAGCCCCACTGCCGACTCAGCAAGGATTTCTCTGTGATTCTCTGTGAAGCAAGCTCCAGCCTTCCTGCTCTCTGCCTTTTCCAAGGGCAGCCCTCAGTCCACGCCCTTGACCACAAGGGCCAGAACAGGCTTCTTTTGAATTTCTTGGTAGATCACTATCAAAATGAAAATAGAAAATGGAAAGGTACCCCAGGGAACACCCCCAGGGGGCCACAAAACTGTCGGAGACATGCAGTGATCCCCTGAGGCTCTAACACAGATATGACATGTGTATGTGCATCTTTGTTGTTTTTAGTGTTTAGAGTCCTGAGGATCCCAAATCAATTTCTACCACAAACCTCCAGCCTTCAGTTACTTCCTAGGGACAAAGAGCAGGGGTTAAGAAGGCCCAGGGGCGCCTCAGTAACTCCCTCGGTTAAGACTTCAGCTCAGGTCATGATGTCGCGGTTCGTGGGTTCGAGCCCCGCATCAGGCTCTGTGCTGACAGCTCAGAGCCTGGAGCCTGCTTCCGATTCTGTATCTCCCTCTCTCTCTACCCCTCCCCTGCTTGCACTCAGTCTCGCTCTCCAAAATAAATAAACATTAAAAAAAAAAAAAAAAAAGGAAGAAAAGAAAAAGAATGGGATAGCTCAGATTCCTTACCACTGGCTATGTGACCATAGGTAAGTTACTTATCCTCTCTGCACCTCCTAGATCTATTC